ACTGTTTGTTTACTTAACATGAGTGTCTCAATGCACACAGAGGGCCAGTTCACTCCCACAGCTATCTGCCAAGACACTGTGAAGTCTGTTGTTGTAGAGGTTAATGCAAAACTGATAAATTTCATGGATCCACCATGTGACTGAAATGTGACATTCATGGGGTGTGGATCCACAGTGCATTACATTTGTTCAGCTGCCTTACTAGAAGTAATTAAAATAATTTCTAACAACCTGATCAGAAAACAAGCTTGCCTTCTGACAATGCCCCCTATTCATGTTCCACAAATCACCATTGTATGACTGGATCACAAGAACTGCTCTGCTGCAGGAATAATATGTGCCTAAAATAATCAAATTAATTCTTTCCCTGGGAAATATCATTGACTTGTTTATGTAACCATAACAAAATGTTGTTTTTCTCCAAAGGTCGCAGAGCACACATTGTCTGAGCAACTGAACAAGCACCCATTGATACTGTTAATGCTAAATAGCAAAAAAAGATGCAGGAAGAAGCTAATTAAATGGATGGGGACGTCCTTGGGAATAAAACAGCCTCATGACTGCATTTGTGTTCCTTCACATTCTGAAATCAACCTAACAACTGGGACAAAAAAAGGTCTTCTTTTAATCCTTTATAGACCGACAGATAAGCTCATAATCACCACAATCACAAACAACTGAGCCATTTAATGAGGTTGTAGCTAAAAAAAAAATAGTGTGATCAAAAACAGTCATGATAAAAGGTAAAAAGTGGGAATGCCAACCTTCTGTATTGTGTAGCCAATTGACTCAAACTATAGGAACGTAAATTCCCAAAGCACATAATGTACAACATACAAGTCGTCAAACGGGCCAAAATCAATGCAGCCTGTGAAAAGATATGGGTTGAAGTCCTATACTTCAAACATGTGTGGCAGCTTTAATCTTCAGTAAATCTTGTGATATTGTTCAACCCTCAGCTCCACTTAGTGGTGACCATAAAGTCTCTCAGTTGTCAATGTGATAAAACTGCAGTGATGTGAATAGGTGTGTTTATCTTGGTGGCATAAAAGCAAAATAGCACATGAATGTCAAACGTTTTGGTTTGTTATTGCTATTAGCAGATAATTTACCTTGACTGTGATTCTTGGGGTCTTTATTTCCTTTCAAAGATGACTCTACTCTGGAAGCTGAGAAGACAAAAACATCAGAATTACTTAAACGTGGGAACAAATACAGAGTGTTAGAGAGGTAACATCGTCTATTTGATGCTATAAATAACTGCAAACAAAATAGAAATCATAGTATGCTTAATATATTTCATATCTAGTTGTGTCAGTCTGGACCTGACTTTCTGACACAATAGTGGAAATCGCTTTGCCTACTTACTCAGCTCTCTGTGTCTCTGTAGCTCAGTTTTCAGGTCAAAAGAGCCAGCAAGGAAATGTCCTTGTTGACTGCTGCCCTCTGCTGACTAATTAAAAAACAGAATCAGGGAGATGATAAGGAAACCACAAAAACCCCAGTCATATACAGGAAATGGTGCAAGAAGGCTAAAGGTAGCATATACTGCCTTGGAAATGAATGAACAAAGAAAAAAAACACATAACTCTGCAAGCAGCTATTCTAAAATGAAAAGGCATGTCAGCAGTGAATATTGAGTGTGTGATAAAAGCCATCATCTCTCAATTTGAAGATCTGGTGGAGACAAAGACATTTCCGCCTATTCTAAAGATTTAAGACCAAAGAAAAAGTCTCTCACAAATATTTCCTCCAGCTCGTTCCTGGCCTTGATAAATGCATCCGCTGACTGCTCCAGTTTAGATCGCAAGGAGTCCAGTCTGATTAAAGCAGAAGAGAGCAGGGTGAAAATGGTAATGCCACATGTTATGATGTTTTAAGATTACATTCTGACAGTGAATAAGAGTGGATTGAATAAAGGGCTGTAATATTAAAATCTACAAAGATGTTTCTTAAAGGACTCTTCATAAATACCAACTTACTGGCTATGTTTCATATTCATCAGTGGCTTGAAGGTAAATTTTGTAGATGAGTCTGGACAGAAACTGAAAACCACATAAAAAGGCTGGTACATTAAAGTATTTTTTTAGTAAAGGATTTTTTTTATGATACATACAACAGAAAATAAACCAAAACATTTTTAAGTTTAAGCCAAATTTATGCTAATATTATTGCAAAACAAAAGCTTTCTCTAGTCTGTATACAGCTAAAGGATTATCTGAAGTACTGTACCTGTGTTGTAACCACTTATTCTGAGTTTATTTACCCCCCCCACCACCACCAATACAATTACATTTATGTTGAAATGTACAATAAATTAAAACACAGCTGTACCCAATGTGTAATAATGTATTAGTGACAGAACTATAAAATTAAAAACTAATGCTTGTCTTGATGGATGAGCCAGACTCTGAATGTCTGCCTTGGCTAAGGAAATGGTTCTTGTGTTAAGTGACTCTTATGCAACTATTTTTAGTGCTATGTAAATCACTGATAATTTGGCCAATGATGGATCTTTGTCATTCCATGTCTCTTTTCATTAAATTCTGATATGTCATTATGGCCATCAGGAAAGTGTGGCAATTGAAATATGGCAACTCATAAAAGGGAGTTCACTGTAACCCTTTAACTCTGTGCTATCTACAGACCTTGGGACTCTATGTATTGACAATTAGCAGTGAAAAAAAATTGTTTTATAGCCTACAATATATATATGACTGATGAAAATAATTGTCTAAAGTATGAGAAATGCAGAAAATATGACTTAGATACTCACTTTTCCAGCTCTCTTTGTGGTACCTCTTCCTCATGTGTGATGACTTTGGTTTTTTTACCTGATGAGTGACCACCACATCACAATAATAATAATTAAAAAAGTAGAGTATGGTGGAATACATGCAAGTTGCTGTTCCTTTTCAGAGTCAGAAATGGAGTATATTATTTACCACCCAAGGATTACATTAAACAGCATGACTAAAAGTCATCCTGTTCCATCCAGGCTCTATATTCTAAAAAGCAGTTGCAGAATATGCACAGAAAATATAACTTGCAGAATCAGATCATTTGTTTGACAGGTGGCAAAGCAATTTTAGTCATCCTAACAGTGCAGGTTCTTGATAGAACCTAGCAGATAATCATTTTCAAATGTTGTCTTCTTTAATTGTCAGTTATGCAGAATAAGATGACTGAGCACAGACACACTTTATCAGTAATATCTTGTAACACATGTACTGTGTCTTGCTCAGAGTATTTTAAATTTTAAGTGCTTGAGTTAAGCCATTCCCATGGCAGAATATAAACACTTGTTTCCTGGCAATGAACCATTAACTTGTGGTCATAAACCCATCTCTTTAACTGTTAAGTCACAACTTCAATTATGCTGGAAAAAACATTTCAAAAATTATTATTTCAGTTTGAAAATACTTAGCACCCTGAGGTTTTGTGTACAGTTACATAATGCTGCTGTTAATACTGCTATTTTGTTATATTACACAGCCTTATGCTGGTTTACTGTTTGCACATTGAGAGGCGATGTACCAGAGTCAAATTCCTCATGTGTCTGTCACACCTGGCCAATAAAGCTGATTCTGACTCTGATTAGACACATACAGTTACACAAGTGTCCATTTTAACCATCTGAAATGACACTGCACTGTAGACTGTTTGGGTGGCAATGACAGAAAATCTCCATAAAATTCTCAGCAAATTCAAGGACAGGTTTACACAGGACAGGAAAAGCCAAAATACTGTCTAATAGGTTGATCCTTCATTTATGAACAACCAGTGCTTGTTCTGAGAACTTGTTGCACAGCTCTGTAATAATGTTTATGTACATACCTGCTTTAGAGCTTGAAATATGAGGCAATGGTGTGTTTCTTCTCACAGGTGCAGGTATTTTGGAAGCTGAATGCTATTCAATATAACTGAAAAAAAATGCTATGACAATATAAAAGATTCCATCATTTTAAACAAAGACAGCATAAAGCTTAAACTTTAAACTTCTAAATGATTTTTACATAAAAATGAGAAAGCAATATGTTGGTGGATAAATAAACTGGAACATTTGTCAACGCCTAAGGATCATTTGATTACTTACATGATGGGCATTGCCCATATGGAGAGCTCTTTTCACACTGTCAAAATAAGCAAAGTGGAAATTAATTGCTTTATTTATCTAATAAGAAATTATCAAAGCCAAGACATTCTTGGTGATATCAATCCTCAGTGTACATTAGTGTATTCCAGTGACAACACAGTTAGTCCATAAATCATTAAAATTATCATGAAATGACAGTGCTAAAGGACAGGAAATTTGGTTGTCAGTATGAAGAAGTATTTAACAATCAATGCCATGGAGTAAAATGCCCTTTCACTTGCTCCACTTTGTGCCTATTATAGGTTAACATTATCATGATAATACAAACAAATGGGGATAACATTCATTGTATCAGGGTTCATTTCCAGAACTGTCCAACAGCCCAACATTTATTGTAGCAGCAGCATTTATTTCATGGAACCACACTATTTAGTAGCTAATACTAGCCAATATGCTGTCGCTGTACAGTATATGCTAGCAATCACTACAGACTGGTCTATGACTCTCTTTCACAGAAATGAGTTTTATTTAAACCCGGTTTTGGTTTCTTCAGGTGTCGTATGTTCCAAATAGTTAAAAAAAAACAGTGCGGCATATAAAAAGTTGTATTAAACACAGTGAATACTCACGGCATTTTTGCGTTTGGAAATATCTCAAGAGAAATTTGCTCTCTAAAATTTTGAAATCTGGCGCTTTTGTTACACCCGTAGAGTTTGTTTAAAACATGACCAGTTGTATATATAGTTCCGGTGTTGAACAAAAGCAACAACAATTATATATTCTAAATGAAACCCTTATTTATATTCTAGATATTTTGTTTGTTTTCATTAGATTAAAACGATAAATTCGGTAGTACATTATATTTGCTACAGGACAGGAATGGGAAAATTTATTTTGTCGGTGTCGTTTTCGGTGAACACCGACGACTTTTTGTTTACGTAGCAACAGGCAGCACATAGCAACGGTATTCGACAATGGCATTGCTAATGCGGATTACATTCAGTAAAACCGTATCTTGAGTGCGTCTAGATTATTTCAATGTGCTGAAGAGATAATGTAATGCAAATTAGTACACTTTGGCTGCAAAGCTAGCTTCATAACTGTCTGCCTGGTTTCTAAGATGGAGAGAGCTTGCTAATAGTAACCAGTCAACACTACATATCTTCTTCCAAACATGTATTTTCAAGAATCACCTCGTGCTTCTGATGAAGAGGGGGCTTTCTACATGCAGAGCAGAGCTGCATATCTAGCTGTGTTCAATTCTAGTTTGACAAATATAACTTCGAAACAGCAGCTATGCCGTGGTAAGCTAACTTAAAACTATAACTGGTAGCGTTGCATGTTTACAGGACGAATACATCTTCAATCCGTGCTATTTCTAGAATATATAACTTTAACTCAGAAACGCGTTATAGTGATGAAGTCAAGTGGAAACAGATCTCCACAAACAGTGTATGATAGCTACTTGGTCACCATCAGTCATGCACCCTCAGGTTTAACTGACTAGGAATTCAGCATTTGTGAACCACTCTACATAAGGTGTCAATGATGGCATCAGCTTGGAAAGACAACACCTGTGATTGTAGATATTGACTACTTGCCAAAGAAGTATCTGAAAGAGAAAACAATATCATTTTTGGTTGTATTTTCATATTAAACTCCTAAACTCACACTGACCTGCTGGTGGATCAGTCATTACAAACCCCATGATGTGTTGCTAAACATGAATGGGCTAATGCCAGACTTATCAAAAATACCATGTGTAAGAGTGGTTTTGGGGGAAATGTGTAATAAAACATGCAGAAGTCAGAATAAAACACATAGTCTTGGCTTAAATTGTTTTGCTCACTGTAACTATCATATACTGTACTTTAATGAGCTATAAAATGTTGGTTACAGAATATACATGATACTCTCTAATAAGATCATTTGTACCAATTCAAAAGCTACATAAGGGGCAATAAAGGGGAAGCAATGCATGTTGAGAGGTTAGCATTTGTAGTAACCAGTGGTACAGATGTTACAGAGCAAAAGAAAATCTAATTGTGAGAGACTTTTAAAAGTTTTTGAATAGTGTACATTTCATTTTAAAGGTCTGCCAGAAAAACTACCAGAAAAGACAAAAAAAATTGTTGTGTGATGCA